TTGTGTGTAAAGTGGCTGCTTAGTGGACTGAGAGTCAGAAGCCGATGGCTCTTTAAAGTTCCTGGTTGTGTAAATCCCGTCGTGTGTGTCAGCGGGGCAACTTCGTGTTCTGGAGCGCGCAGGCGGGTTTGTGAGCCTGGCAGCCACTGCGCCCAGCCCACATCAGGCGACCGATCAACCAGGCGGGGGCATGGTGCTGGCGATGGGCGACGGAGTCTAGTTGACCCTCAGCGCAGTTCTTTCCTCAATATACGCAATTAGATGCGCTTGAAGCAATCACGGCGCACCAAAAGCCATTACTTTGGTGGTCGCAAACTGACTGGATACCTCGCACCACACAGCGTGTGTATTGTTGTGTGGAGTGGCTGACTGGCGGACTGTGAGTCAGACTGCAATGGACTCTTTTTAGTGTGGCGTTTATGGGATGCCCGCGTACGCGGGAGCCTGCCTAACAAGGTCTTTCGTTGTGCGCGTATTGGAGTAGCGGCCGCACCAGCAAACTGCGCCTTATCCCATCTCCACTCTTCTTGCTTTTTTTGACATCGAGTACAAGTGCGGGAGTGGGATAGATCATGCACAGGTCTTCTTTCACTATAATCTAGTTCCAGCTACCGTGTTTACCTTCAGCTAGCTGAAACTCTTGCCGAACTTCGTCGATATCGACGGTCGAACTGTCAGATAACCAGGGTTTCATTATTACGACATAGCGGAAGCAGCTGGGGATGGTGAATTTTTTATTGTCGACAGATTAATGAGCCGTTCCAAAGCCTACCAAACGTTTCAAAAACTTTTAACTCGTGCAAAACCAGTTAGGGCAACAATTTGATACCGGGATCAGTGCTCTGAAGAAAGTGTTAATCTATTAGTTAAGTGGCGGTCACGCAAACCGTCTGTTAAGCACACGAACATGCGTGAAAATATTGTCAAACAAATGAACGAGAGAGTGAACGAGCGCGTACGGTTCCGCAAACAAAGGTCAAAAAAGATCTCAAGAAAGCGAAAATATAAATACCTTGGCTAAACTGTTAGACTAGAAAGAGCAACCTGCGATGAGATATAGCGATGAGGTTTTAGAACGTTGAGTTTAGTTTATTTGGTCATTTAATATTTACCCAGAACTGCTATTACATCCGCAGGCCAATATCCAGTCCAATGTGGTAAAAATTAATTATGTTGATATTTTTATTTATCCGTGTGCGACCACTTACAAAAGCTGTCAACTGTTTGCTATATTTCAATATTACTGCGGTGTAGTTGATCACGCGCAGTATGCCATGGTAAGTGAGCAATAATTTCCAGACCATCGGAAAAATTGCATAAAATATTTTTCATCCCACTCGAGTTGACATAAAACTTGGAATTGCATATGCAATGCCGTTCTTACCAAATCATGACGTATTCGGGAGGTGAATCGCGACATACGCTGTCGCAACTGCTTTTCATTTCGCCGCGTGAAGGCGAGAAAAGCGGAGTTCAGATGTCGAGCGTGCTGTCTCACCAGATAACTTGACTTCCTTTCCAAGGTATCGGATGTTTTGCCTCCAATCTGGTCATACGGGTTTTCGGCAACCCTGGGAAGAGGAGTAAAGTCCCGATTGTGGAGTAGTAGTCCGCGTCCATTGGAGATGGCCACAAAAGCGAGGAAGAGAAAGAAGGCGGAGCCCAGAAGAATGATGATGAACTGATTAGTACGTGAGAACTTCATTCGTAACGAACTGACGCAGGAGCCGGAGACCTCGTCCACTGATTTGGCCGGGCGAACAAGTCGATAGGAGCAAACGGAGCGTAAGGAGTGGTCAGGCATCGTCTTGTCAAATATGTGAGAATACGTTCGTGAGGAAGCCGTTTTTGCTGGATTTGACTGAAAAACACGAAATGTTTCGTAGTTATGGTCAAGCTGGAGGATTAGTATTGTGGGAAGGGAACAACAGATTAGTACACAAGTGTGGCCCTTATAACCTAAACAGATAATTGGCTACACATTTTTAGCGAGTTCGTTATAGGAGATGAATTTAGACTTAGCTCTCAGATTATAAATGCACTGAAACCACCGCTGAAGTACAATAATATATGCATAATTAAGCAGCTAGATTCTCATGGTGTAACGTTGCTAAACCAGGGTGTACATTTCAGCATTTCGAGTATTTATGTAAAACTTCTTGACGATGTTCCTATTGGAATTTCCTAAACAACCTGTGATCTCTACGGTTTTAAAAATTCTGAAGGGTAGTTGGCCAGTATGCGTTAGTATTTAATAAATTCTTATCGAGCCAGTAAGGTTTTGTGGGAATAGCGTACAAGCTATTGAAATTGTACTTATGTTCGCCAACTACATATCTGTTTTTGAACATATTGTCAAAAACGTTAGTTATTGGGAGGACAAGGACTCGATCGTTGGGACAATACCTTTATTTTCCTGAAGTTTCGACATCCGTCGCGGATTCGTCATCAGAATCATAAGCAGAGAGCAGTAGCAGATACGAGTGACGTAACGCAACGTTAGTTAAAAAAGGAACTGCTCCATTTAATGAACTCGGCCTTTTAAAATTGAGTCTGTTGCCACAAAGAGCTATTAGTAGCGTATGTGTGAGAGAAGCAAATTGTTTCTGAATTCTATTTTAACCTTACTGCTGCAAGCATATGTTACAGTTTTCATATCTATACACTCTCGTGAACATCAGTCAGGCAACATATTATTAGGTTCTCTCAGTCAAAAGTACGGTCGGTTCATAATAAAAAAGGAGGTTGCGTCACGGGGATATATTTTTAGCCCCATTGATACATTCCCATATCGAAAACAGAACAATGTGAAAGGAGCTATAGAGGCGAGGATGGTTCTTGTTATAGAGACGCGAGCGGCGATTCACTCAGAGCCTACCGCCTGGAGTCATGCGCGCAGACAAACAGCGAACGCTAACGACCGTTCACATAGCGTGGGGAACTACCGATCAGAGTGCATACGTAACGACCCCTCAAACAGCGTGGCAAACTATCGATCAGCGGCAGGACAAAACAGTGGTCACCTACTATTGGCCAGTAATCTTCTAGGAGGACCAGAGCCTTATAAATAGGCTGTAGTGTAAACGCTAAGGATTCGAATGTCTTTGTTTTATCCTGAATAAAAGCTCTTGCTATCAGAACCGACTGTTTGCTTTTCTTCTGGCTGCTAATCGGGGATATAACAATTTTTATTATAATGGCTAAAAGCTTTACATATTAGTAACTAGAAGAGGTAAGACCATGCTAATCGTACTTAAGGAAACAGTTTAGAGGAATTTAGAAGTTAATCAAGCAAATTGTGAATGCGTTCGCATGATGCGCCCGTACGTGTCTATATCGAAAATAAAGGTAAGAGATGCCTAGTTGTTCGTTTAAATATTTTTGCATAAATTCTATCCACAGCAGTAACGAGATAGCTAATCACCAGTTCTGATATGAAAATGTGGGTGCAAATAATGTTATAGAAAAGACTGCTTTCATTGTTCAATAACGATCTAAAATCAGTCTATCTGCTCAAATGCAAAGTCAACGTATTTGGGTTGATTTGAAGTGGTGAGTTTTTAGGATATTTCTACCTCATTCATGAGAATGTACAGGAATTGTTTCAAAAGCATCATTTAGATGTTCAATCACCGACTCGGTAGAGACATCGAAAAGGCTATAAGGTAACCACACATAAGAACAACAAGCAAACTATTAGTAGTTAAGAAGTATCGAGTTGTTCAACAAAATTATTTATGAATATTAAAAAAAACATTGGCTACACAAGTATCTCGGACGTTTATAAGTTACGTGAATTATTAA